AGTCGTGAGACCGTACCACGTTGAGTAGCTTTCCACAGGAGGAGGTGCGTTCGAGGTCAGCGCTGGAGAAACCACAGCCACAGCCGGTCACAGCAAAGCACTTCTGTTGGGATTCTCAGACGTTTCCAAACGTCAGCCGACACCCTGGGCGCTCGCGGCAGGTTGATTTAGCGAGGCGACTTAGGCTGGAGGTGGAGGGAGAGGGTCCCTGCTGGCCCCCAGCCTCCTCTGGAGGCTTCCGAAGCTGTAAAGTTGGGTAGAGTAGGGAGGAAATCCGGCCTCGGATTTCCCCCAATCTCGGGCTCTCCACAGGCCTGTTCATGGTGTTAAAATAAGTTCAGTACTCCCAAGTACTGAACGCTGAGTATGGGCGGATCACCGTGCCAAGGCGTCTACGCTCATCTCCTCCTTTTAGGTGAACTCCATTTTGCAGTTGAGGAAAGTGAGGCACAGAGGAAGGTTAAGGGGCCTCCTCACTACTCCCAGCCAGGGAGGGCAGATCTGCATTCTAACCCGCCTTTGTCAGGCTCCGAGACCCTGCGCTCGGCCTCCAAGCTGGGCAGTCTTCGCAGAGTCGGGGCGGAGGTGGGGGATCTGTGCGGGAATGCTCGGGGCAGGATCTTCTCCGCGATGAGCTCTGTGAGTGAAGTGGGAGGTGGCAGGGCCAGGCTGCAGAAGTCGGGACTCTGGAGTGGGATCCGAGCCTATGTGGCCACGCGGGAGGACGTCACGAGAGCTGCGTGGCTCCGTGGGGAACAGGGTGGGGTGGGATTCGCAAAAGGAACTAGATGGGTGAGCGGGAGCCAATTTGAAACTCACTTTCCTCCTTTATTTTTAAATTTGTGGCAGGGTGTTTGAGGGTGAAAAAAAGAAACATCTTCATCCAGGAAACAACAAAAAAGAATTCCACCTCTCTCTCTCTCTCTCTCTCTCTCTCTCTCTCTCTCTCTTTCTCTCTCTCTCTCTTTCTCTTAGGGTCTCACTTCTGTCGCCTAAGGCTGGAGTGCAGTGGCGCAATCTCGGCTCACTGCAGCCTCGACTTCTCAGGCTGAAGTGATCCTCCCACCTCAGCCTCCTGAATATCTGGGACTACAGGCGCGTGCCACCACGCCAGCTAATTTTTTGTGTTTTTAGTAGAGACAGGGCTTCGACATGTTGCTCAGGTTGGTCTCAAGCCATCCACCCGTGTGCTGGGCCTCTTTTTTTTGGTTCAGTTTCCCCTACGTGGCTCGCTCAAAGAGGGCTTCTCACTGGGTGGGTCCGAGCAGCGCCAGAAGGGGAAGGGGTACAGGGTGAGAGAGGTCTGGGGTAAAGGGAGAAGGAGACAGAGGGGGAAGGGGGCCCCTGGCCTGTCAGTTCCAAGAGGCAAACCCGGCCAGCTGAGCTCTGTGGGCTGAGTTAACAGCAGCCCAGTAGCTTTGTAATTTGCAAGAGGGACTCCGAATTGTTCTTTGTAATTTGGTATCGGTTTACAAGGCAAAGGACTTGTTTCCTCACCTCACCAGGTCCTCAGTCATGGCCTGACCCCTTTTAAGAGAGGGACCTCGAGAAGGGAGCTGAATTCCTTACGCCCTCGCCTTTCCATCAAGTTTTCAAGGTACGCCTTGGCCGGGCCCTCCCGGGCTGCCTGTGCTGCCACCTCCGGAGGAAATCCACGTCTGTATTGAACTCCTAACCTGTGAAGACGCGCTAACCTCGTGATTGCCGAGCCGGGCCAAGGAAGGCTACTCTTTCCTCTTTGCAGAGGAGGCAACCGAGCTTCAGAAAAGTAACCGACTAAGGTCACCTAGCCAGTGGAGCAAACAGCTCGGGCCCAGGCCCTCTGACTCCGATTCCCTCTGAATATTTGGTTTACTAAACAGTTTGAGCAGCCATAGATTCCTTTCACAATCCCATAAAAATTATGATAATTACTCCTCCCTTTTCCCCAAATGTGCATATTTTCGCATTCAATTTCGGAGCTTCTCCGACTTCCGAAGTTCGTCCCAGGATAAAGACCCTTTTTCTTCTCCCCCTCGCCCCGCCCCTTGACCTCGCTTCCGGGTAATTGCTGGGATTCTGATTCTCTGGAGGCTTTCTGGGCGGAGGGGTTGAGTGCAATTCAACTGGGTTATGATCATAGCTGCTTGTTCCCTGGTGCAGCAGACGGGTGTGTAAGGAGGGTGGGACCGGCCGGGCACGTGGAGATGGGCAAGATGTCTGGAGAGGGCAGTGGGGCTTTGTGTAGGTTTTTGCTAGGGGTGAGGGTTGAGTGTCGGGGAGGAAGCAATCCTGAGCTCACCTCGCTGAAACCCACGGGCTGAGGTCCTCCAGGAAGCACTGGGGCTCAGCTTTTCCTATGTCGGTGCAGGTGGAGCACATAAGGAGGAAGGCTGGTGGCTCTGCCAGAACATTCTGAGGGCCTCGTTCTCTCCATACTCTGGGACCTGCAGTCCCATCTTCCATTTGGCCTCAGCCAGCGTGGTTTATTGTACACAAATCCCGCTTGTTTCCTCCTTATGTCGCAGTTTTAAAATTTCTAATTAGTTCAAGAGCTGCTTGGCTGCTCATTTACTTTCAGTTTTGGAAACAGGCTTACACCCCTTTCTCCTGTTCTTCCTCCGGTCGGGCCCCCTTCCCCTCAATCTAGTTTCCCAAAGTTAGCAAACCTACTTTCTTGATTTTGTTTCTTAACATTTAAAACAACTGGTGAAGGGGCTAATGATTTCATCGCCTTACCACCGCCCCTAACCTTAAAAGCAATACATAAAAAAAAAAAAGCCCAGCCTGCCAACCGCTTGCACACGCGGCCAGAAGTGGTGGGGGTTTGTAATTTGCATACACCTCTCGGGGGCAGAAGCACTGTAATACCTGTTTGCAAAGGCAGAAATGTAGCTAGCAGGGGAAGACGCTGGAAAAAAACAGAATGATTTGATAAAAACTTGCTGGGTCCTGTTACAGGAGGGCTGCTGGTAGTAACCTGAGGTACTAAAATCAGAAGGGGTGTGGGGAGTAAAATTTTCAAAAGCAAACCCGCGGCGAGTCTTTCTTGCTGGGAGTGAGGGGCTCTGCAAAGTTTCTGGGACTTCAGAACAGAGGTCAACAAGGTCGACAAGGTCCATTGCTCTCCCGGAGACTACTGGGTGATCCAGGGTTCCTCTCTGAACCTCAATTTTGTCTTTGGAAAAACGGGGATAGGAACATATTTCTGCTGCGGTCAAGAGTTTAAACGGGCGCGGTGGCTCAAGCCTGTAATCCCAGCACTTTGGGAGGCCGAGGCGGGTGGATCACGAGGTCAAGAGATCGAGACCATCCTGGTCAACATGGTGAAACCCCGTCTCTACTAAAAATACAAAAACATTAGCTGGGCATGGTGGCGCGTGCCTGTAATCCCAGCTACTCAGGAGGCTGAGGCAGGAGAATTGCCTGAACCTAGGAGGCGGAGGTTGCGGTGAGCCGAGATCGCGCCATTGCACTCCAGCCTGGGTAACAAGAGTGAAACTCCGTCTAAAAAAAAAAAAAGTTCAAACGCTCCAATGTAGGTGAAGAAAATGTGCTTTGATGAGTGAGTTGAAAAAAATGTGCAAAAAGAAACTGGTGTTACAAGGTGGTGTCAAGGACGAGGCGGTTAACAGTTTGTGTGACCCCTTGTCTCTTGTTAGAGCTCGCACGGCTCCCAAGACATCCTCTGAGTCGCCAGAGCTACCGAAAAGCCGACAGGAATAAGCAGGAGTGTTTCTCTGTTTTCTTTATTGGGCTTCGGAAGAGGCTCTGGGAAGAAGCATCCACACAAACGGGAATCCAATGTCTGGTTACCTGGGAGGAATTTTCCAACATCGCTAAGGGCTTGAGAATACCTGTGCTTCCGGCCGATAGCGTTAGTTTCACAGTAGTTCCTAAGCTGCCTTTGTTCCTACTTCTCGGAGCCAGGTTAACTTTTAACATTCTGACAAACTCGGAGAAAAGTAACGTTGGAGTTAAGTCAGGAATTCCCACCCTTCAACAAATATTTGTTGCGGGCCTACTGTGTGCTCAGTACAATGACACCCAATTCTGTAGTCTCCTAAACTGATCCTACTCTAGAGGTCTTGATTATTTACAGATGCAGCTAGAAACGCGTCTCTATTGTTTTAAATTTAGTTCAAGAAATAGAATGCAGCGTTACATTAGAAGACTAATTCCTTCTTTTAATGTGTTGAAAATTTAACTTTATTGTTAAACATTTTGTAAAGAATTTTTTGAGGGAGTCGTTAGAAAGTCTATAAAACAATTATGCACACTAAAAGGCAGTCATCTTTTAAAAAAGTTTTAAGTGCATGCTTCCTAAATCTCTTAATAGCATGCATTTCTGATTGTCCCCAAATTAACTGTAGTAGCTAGCAACTGATACAGCAGAAAAATTAAGTAACTTGTAGTTGACTTGGCCACCTGCCACATAGGCTTGGTGAAAGTTAATGAGGAACTATTTGGCACTAGACGCAGAAATAGAGACAGGCCATTTGTACGCTAACTAGGAGCTTCCGTGCCAGGTAACCAGTGACGTATTCTTGCAGGAGAAAGAAGGATGCCGCTGTACGCCCCGATAGAGAGGCATCATTTTTACGCTCAGTTTGGATTAATGATTGATTGAGTCGCAGAAATACTTGTGATGCTGACAGAGAGCAATACTGGCCTTTCTGATCTCTTCCTCGTCATTTATTACTTTGTGTCTAGTGGACAACGCATTCCTAAGAGTGTATCTCTGCTTGTTTCCCAGTCCACGAGATCAATGGCCACTTCTCTTTCGCAGGCCCGGTCATACCTCGGGTTTAGACTCTGGACAGGCGACCCGGCTGCACCGAAGGCCCGGCAGGCGGACTCTGGCTGAGCGGTGCAGGGAGGAGGGTGTAGACCGCGGAGAGGCGGAGGGCGCCCGGCCGGCATGCCTCGGCCAATCAGTGTACACACCGCCTGACAACCGGCCAATCGGAGGACGTAAAGCTCGGGGCCGGAGTGGATAATACTAGAAAGGGGAGCGCAGTCTGGGGACGAAGCCAGTGGCGCTGCGCTGAATGCAGCTGCGCGCGCCCGCCCAGTGAGCCCGAGATCTGAGCCAGGCGGGGGCGGCCAGACGTTTCCCGCCCAGCTTGGATCAGAGGAAGCCGAAAGCGACCTCAGCAAGGTGAGGCGCCCAAGGCTGCAGAAGACCGAGCAGAACTTTGCAGAGTTCGGGATGTGCTGGGCTAGGTCGCTGAGGACTTGACTCGCCTCCTCCCTCCTTCCCTCCACCTTCTCCCGCCCCTCCACCATCCAGGGGGTTCGTTCCGGGTTTCCAGCTATCAGCTCCCGGTGTCGTGTTTGAGGGTAGGGACCCCGATTTCTGTTTGCATGCACAGTCAGCAGCCCTAGCGCCAGAACCTAAAGCTGGATATCTTTTGACTGGGCTACCAGCCCGGGTCTCAAAGTTTTGGTGAGTGTGAGTGCTGTGATGCCGCTCGGGGTGTCAGGGAGGGCAAAGGGTGTGAATCATCTTTCACCTTTTCTATTTGACTTGGATGCCTTGCCTTAAAGATGTGAACCAAGCCCTAAGTACAGAGGGCCCACGCGGCTCAGCCCCGTGCACCCTAAGTGCTACTGAGACTGGGCGGGCATCTGTAGCTTTGTGCTCTTTGCCCCTGTGGTTTTGGTTTTCAGTTGATTATTTCAGCAAAATTTTGGTTTTCAGTTGATTATTTTGGGGAGGAGGATTGAGAGGACCTCTTCGCCTCTTCGATCCCAAGGAGGGTTCCTTGTCGTGGTGCAGGCTGACGCGAGGCATTGGGAAGCATGGAGTGGTACTTACGTGGGTCTGAAGAGCCCCTTGTAATCAAAAGAAAAACCGTTCTTCCACGGTTTTATGTGCAGTATGGCCGTACTGGTTGGGGATGCGGAAACCTGACGAGTGACCTGGGCCGGCCTAGCTGGACACAATACTTTGTGCGTGTGATCAGTGAGTCACCCAGGGACTTGTCAGGAAAGCCTGTGTAAAGCCAGAGAGGGCTGCGGTTAAAGGTCGGGTGCTCACAGAGCACTTAGAATTAATAAAAGAAAAGCTTTGTTGGGTTGTGGATCCCTGGGGGCCCTAGAGATACACTAAAGGCACGTGTGGCCTGGAAGGGAGGGTCGTGTAAAGAGAACAGGATAACTCATGGGGCCGGAGGCGGGCAGACCGCGAGCTCTGGGCCGGAGGCTCAGGGATGGTCCCTGACGGCGGCCGGGGGGCCTTTGGATTTTTTTTTTTTTTTTTTTCTTGAGACGGAGTTTCGCTCTTGTTGCCCAGGCTGGAGTGCAATGATGCGATCTCGGCTCACCGCAACCTCCGCCTCCTGGGTTCAGGCAATTCTCCTGCCTCAGCCTCCTGAGTAGCTGGGATTACAGGCACACGCCACCATGCCCAGCTAATTTTTAGTATTTTTAGTAGAGACGGGGTTTCACCATGTTGACCAGTTTGGTCTCGATCTCTCGACCTCGTGATCCACCCGCCTCGGCCTCCCAAAGTGCTGGGATTACAGGCTTGAGCCACCGCGCCGGATTTCTTTGTGTTTCCTCAGAGAGCCGGGCGCTGAGCTCAGGCCCCAGCGAGGCCCGGAGCGCCATGGCCGACCCGCAGGCTGGGTCGGCGCCCGGGGACTGGGAGATCGATGTCGAGAGCCTGGAGCTGGAAGAGGACGGCTGCGAGGCGCCGCGGTCAACGCCCCCCGGGCTCAGCCCGCCGCCGCCGGCCGACGGGGACGGAGAGGACGACGAGGATGACGACGGGGAGGACGAAGACGCGGAGGAAGAGGGCGACGGCGAGGAGGCGGGAGCGCCCCCGGGGATGCCCGGCCCGCCGGAGCCGCAGCGGGGACTGCAGCCCAGGCCTCCGCTCGCGCCTCAGGCCTCGCCGGCGGGCACCGAGCCCCCGGAGCGCGGCACCCCTGCGGGCGGAGGCGCGGAGCCGCGCAAGCTGAGCCGCACGCCCAAGTGCGCGCGCTGCCGCAACCACGGCGTGGTGTCCTGCCTCAAGGGCCATAAGCGCTTCTGTCGCTGGCGCGACTGCCAGTGCGCCAACTGCCTGCTGGTGGTAGAGCGGCAGCGCGTCATGGCCGCCCAGGTGGCGCTCCGGAGGCAGCAGGCCACCGAGGTGAGTACTCGCCCGGCCCTGGACGTGCCTCGCCGGGACGTCCCGGGCCACAGTGGAAGTGGGGGAGTTGGAGGGGACGGGGTGGCTATCCACACTCCCGCGCCCAGGGGCTTGCGGCGCCCGGCACTCCCTCGGAAGGATGGTAAGAACGCTTTTCTGCCTACATTGGCAAGCAGGGTCGGGAGGGAGAAAGCAGGCATCTCTTGGGAACTTGGGAAATGTTTTTGTATTAAAAAGCAGGCAGAGACGCCTCGAAAGTGATTAGGCCCATTTGGAACGTCATGAGAAAATCAGTTTGCTGTTTTTTTTTTTTTTTTTTTTTTTTTTTTTTTTTTTTTTTTCACATTTGAAAGTGTATTTTCGTGGTGTTGAGGGGCGGGATTGGAGGCCAGAGTGGTTGATCCACTCTCCACGGCGTGCAGCTCCAGACTCTTCACTGCTGTGCTAGCGATGGTCGAGGAAAAGAACCACGCAGCACGCATGCACTCGGAGCTTCCGTGCTCACCCGGACGTTTGAGATCTCCAGAACACGCATTTTACGGATGAGACAAAAAGTGCATGAGAATTTAGATGCTTGCAGCGCAAGGTCATCAATCCGAAGCTACTCTCCCTGTAAACTACCTGAGAGCACGTGCTTTCCACCAGAGGACTCCAGCTAAGACAAGAGCCAAGGTTTTCTTTCCCAGAGAGGCTCTTGAATCTCCTATTTTGTATTTATTTCCTTATGCGCCGGCTCAGGGAGAGCTCAGTTGGTGAGGATTCACAGGGCCTCCTCCGAGACTCAGGACCAGGGAGGATTTTTTATTTTACTTTTTGGCGAAGAGGAGCTGGGGAGTAAGCGGATCGCTAAAGGCGGCGACCCCACTGGAAAGCCTCTCGAGGGCCCATGAGAGAGCGCTGGTTGCCAAAGACACCGGATCCTGGCCTTGGCCTCCTCCCGCGTTCTGCACGGGTCGTCTCCGGCCCTGCGTTCCCACGCGTTCTCCGCGGCATATGCTGGGTAGGGCGCGAGCGTGGGAGGGCCTAGAATCCCACCAGCTGGTGCTGATGTGGAGGCGAGAGCGGGCGTCCGTAATGCACAAATCTGGAGTTTGCAGCCAGACCCAGGAGTGATAGCAGGCCTTGGGGCACCTTCTACCCAACAGGTGGGCGCCCAAAACCCAGCCGGGCTGCAAGCACGTCTTGAGGCCGGGCGTCTACAGTCTCCCCAACCAGGGATTTCACTTTTTCACTCCCCCCCGGGATGTCCCTTCACTTCTGCCCATATAAAGGTCTGCGTAGTGAGTCTGGAGTGACTGTGCTGGAGAAAGCAGGGGGCCCAGCTCACCGGCTGGCCGAAGGTTCCAGCTCCTTGCCCTAGGATTAAGGGGTGCTGATATTAATTAGTTTGTAATTATTTTTCACACGGAATGGGAAACTTCAATACATTTAGAAGGGGGAGAGTTTCTAGAAGATTTACTGACATCCCTTCCTTCCCCCTTCTCGCTCACATTTTCTTTCAGGGCATTATTTTTGATGATGTTTCTTGTGTTTACAGGACAAGAAGGGGCTTTCTGGGAAACAGAATAATTTCGAGCGCAAAGCTGTGTACCAGAGGCAAGTCAGAGCTCCCAGTTTGCTGGCCAAAAGCATTTTAGAAGGTAAAGCAACAAAATTATCCTTCAGCCTTTTAAACCGAGTTGAGTGACTCTCATTAATCAGGCACAAAGTGTATTTATTAATCTGTTAAAGTGCTATCTAAAGGGAAGGTACTTTTTATTAGAAAGGTTTTGTTTAGGTGTTCGCTGAGCCCATACGCTAAAACTGAACCCAAACGGAGGAGATTAGCATGGCCCCTGAGCCAGAGAGTTTTCCTCTAGGAAGGAAACCACCACCTGGGAAAATGAATCTCACATACCTGCCGAGGTTTTTGTCACCACCAGTTTAATAATCCGTATCATTTGGTTGTCCGCTTAGTGGTTCATGGGTTAATATGGAGTGCATGTGAAATTTACCCGGTGTGAGGGATATACAAATATATACTGCCAAGTGATCCTGGAGCAGATGTCTTGGAAGGAAATAAATAAAGCAAAACAAAACAAAACAACGTAACCACATCTACTTTTCTTAGTTTTCGGAGCTGAATAGATTAAGTCAAGTGAGGAATTTAACAGCTGCCCACAACTAATAAAGACCTTTAGTCTGGGAGTTCAACCTCAGATTCCACTCTTTTTCATTGTACTTTTTTCCGCCTCCTGGATTACTTAAGTAATTCCTGTGATTCCAAACTTCATTTTACCATTTTGACAGTCAAGGTTATAGAATCTGAAAAAGGGTTTGAATCCAGCAAGCGAAGTGGAGGTTGAGCGCAAACAGTGTGAAATCTCTTTCTCTCTCCGTGTTCTCACTTTCACGAAAGCCTGGGGATACATTAATTTTTCTTAAAATATTACTAAGTTTTTAAAGCATCTCTACTTGGGTATGGAATTTATTTACTGACCTTCTAAATAACATATTGTCTTAACCGTTTTCCTTTAAAATTTAAAAAATATAAATAAGGGAAAGTTAACGTTTGCTTTTATCACTGCCACTTCATTAACTTCAGCTTGACAGTAAACAAATTTTTAAGTAGACATTTGAATTCTGTTTTTTTTTTCTTGTATGGCTTCTGAATTTTGTTGGTTCTGGACAGGTTTTGAATTTGGTGTGTGTTCCATCATGTGTTGTATACCTCTGACCTTAGAGTGGTTTCTTATGCATTAAAAATTAATTTGGCTACAAACGGGATAAACAGATTTATAATAATAGGGCCACATTGATAAACCGAACTTGTGTCAAAGCAACTTGAGCAGTGCGAGGACTACATGGAATAGTAAATTCAGCTAAGTAACTTCCTGGCAAAAACTTACCGTAGAAACGGAAACATTAATTTTCAAATTTTATTTTATTTTCAAATGAGTATGGTGGGTTTGTCACCATGTAAATACAGATATAACAATGGACCCTTCATACAAATTTGATAGAGGTGAGTACTTGGGGATGATAAAATTCTCTGAGTATTTTATCCCCATACTCTGCATATTTTATGCCTCCTGGAATTCTATTTATGTTACACTAGTCTTTGTTTCTGACTTTGTTCCTCTTCATGCAATGACTGAGCCTGTGTTCTAATGATTGCCTGGTCAACCATTTTGGTATCTGGCCAAAATGATTAGAGCTTGGGAAAAATGTTTTAGAACAGTTATTTTCAATAGAGGATCCCTCCTCTATTGAAACCCCCACTTTTTATGGGTTCTGTTTTATTTTGTTTTGTTTGTACTGGTAGTCAGGGGAAGGGGCCTGGTTAAATTGTTCAATTGTACTGGTTAAATTGTTAAATTGCAGAGCGTGTTTGACTATTTAACAGCTCTTTTCAATTTTCTATGCCTGTCTATTTCCTTAACTCTTTTTTTTTTTCTTTTCCACTCACTAATCTCCTTTAACTTTCTTTCTTTCTTTCTCTTTTTTCCTAGTTCTCCTTGGATTATTCTACAGCTATTACAGTGTGTACATAATGAACCATCTTTAGAAAATAAAAGTGACATCAGCTCTAGGTATAGATATATTTTTAATAATAAAAAGATGACATGGATAATAATAAAACATTGATTGACACAAGATGAATAGTCTTGTCTCTTAATGCATAGGGGGCCTTGGAAAAATATTAAAATTTTGATCAATAAAGTATGCCTTTTGAAGGAAGCAAGCAAACAAATCTATAACAACGAGAACAGCAGCAGCAATAACAACACCAACAGGTTGCAATGTGGATATCCTTCACCCTCCCAGGAAACTATTTAAAACCTAGCCTGTACTTTTGCATTCTGTATAAAAATATTAGTGAGCTAAAACTGTAAATAATTGTTCTGCTGATTTGTAGTGTTGCTGTTGCCTTCTGGGTTTCCAGATTTTTCTTCCATAGATGTCAGTCTCTTTCATGTGCAATCTTTGCTTCTTTTAGGCTATCGCCCCATTCCAGCAGAGAATTATGTAGGAGGGACCTTTCCTCTACCTCCCCCAGTTAGCGACAGGATGAGGAAAAGAAGAGCCTTTGCTGATAAAGAGTTGGAGAACATTATGCTGGAGAGAGAATATAAAGAAAGGGAGATGTTGGAAACGTCTCAAGCTGCTGCCCTGTTCCTGCCCAACCGCATGGTGCCTGGACCTGACTACAACTCCTTCAAAAGTGCCTATAGCCCCAGCCCAGCGGAACCACCAAGCAAGGACTTCTGTAATTTTTTGCCCACCTGCCTTGATTTAACCATGCAGTATTCAGGGTCTGGGAATATGGAACTAATTTCTTCTAATGTCAGCGTGGCCACGACTTACAGACAGTATCCCTTGTCCTCAAGATTTTTAGTTTGGCCCAAGTGTGGTCCCATTAGTGACACCCTCCTCTACCAGCAATGCCTGCTAAATGCCACCACCTCAGTTCAAGCCCTGAAGCCTGGGGCCAGCTGGGACTTGAAGGGGCCACGAGTCCAGGATGGACTCAGTGCAGAGCACGACATGATGCCATCGAAATTGGAAGGCTCCCTGGTGCTGCCTCACACTCCTGAGATCCAGACCACGAGAAGTGACCTTCAGGGTCATCAGGCTGTCCCAGAGAGGTCCGCATTCTCCCCACCCCGACGGAATTTCTCTCCTGTTGTTGACACGGACTCCCTGGCAGCTCAAGGGCACGTCTTAACGAAGATCAGCAAAGAAAACACCAGGCACCCTATGCCACTTAGACATAATCCATTCCACTCATTATTCCAGCAAACGCTTAATGACAAATCGGGTCCTGAGTTGAAAATACCATTTGTCAAAGAGGCCTTTGAAGAGACCCCTAAGAAACACAGAGAGTGTTTAGTTAAGGAGAACCAGAAGTACACATTTACAATAGATAGATGCGCAAAAGACCTTTTTGTAGCCAAACAAGTTGGAACAAAACTCTCGGTGAATGAACCACTGTCATTTTCTGTTGAATCTATTCTTAAGAGGCCTTCATCTGCCATCACTCGTGTCTCTCAGTGAAAGGCTGCTTAAACAGAAAGCTGGGTTTTCTGCAGTCTGAGAGCGTTTTTGCCATTCGCTATTTTTTTTCGAAGTTAAGATGTTTGTGTAAAGAAATTTCTAATGTAAAGATGATTTTGAAAAATTTTATATATTCATAATATGCATGTACTTTTTCTTATCACATATATTTAAACTTACAGATGGAAATTGCCCAATGTGCAAATTGTTAAGTACCATGCTTTACACGACATTTCAAAAAGCAATAAAATTGACACTGTCTTCTAAATGACCCAGTATTTGCTGAAGCAAATAGCAGTCTCTGTCTAGATGAAGAAGTTATTTTTCTATGATTCTGAATATTTTGAAATACTCTTTTAATGGCCACTGGGGGCCACAGGAAAACCTTTATAGTACTTCAGTTTTGCATTTTGGAGGGCACATAAATTTAATTATTCAGGACTGTTTGAAGCAAAAATAACTTTAAGGAGAACATAGGGGCATTTGCTTATTTACAGTATTTTCATTTCACATGATTGAACAAAGCTGAATTAATTTGCAGGGAAATCAAGTGTAATGTCTCTTTTAGATGATGATTAGGGTTCTTGGAAGAGATTTCTTTTGACTCCCTGGATTCCAGTTTCTTTCCCTGGTGAGGATGTTTATGTGGGGCTCCCAGTTTCCTTCCTAGACACATTTCTAGTTTCTTTGAACAGTCTATGATTGCTAGGAGCCACAAATCAGGTTTCCTTTTAAGATGTGCTCAGTGCAGCCCATGATGGGGCCCAAACCTCCTCTCAGCCCTTGCGTGAGCCCACTATTTCTGAATCACTGGTGACAGCAGGCATTTGGATGCAGGCCCAGTCACAACTCTCATTAGGCCCCCAAGTATCAGCTTTATGCCTCCTACATTTGCACCACTGTTAAAGGCCTTCAGTGTAGCTCTCTTCTGACACAAAAACATTTACTATTCAAATTGTTTCAGCTGACAGTTGCTGAAGCTTGCAGATATTTATCACAGCATGAGGGTGACTTCTCGATTACACCTTTTCTCTCCCACCCCCTCTTTGTTTTGATACAAGTTTCATTTCGTAGGCCAGGAGGGAGTGTAGTGGTGTGATCATGGCTCACTGCAGCCTCTACTTCCCAGGCTCAAGCGCATGCCTGTAGTCCCAGCTACTCAAGGGGCTCCACCTCCCAGGCTCCACCTCAGCCTCTTAAGTAGCTTGGACTACAGGCATGCACCATTATGCCTGGCCAGTTTTAAAATTTATTTTTTTTTTTTTGGATTATGTATAGAGGTGAGTTTTAAAAATTTTTGGTAGAAACAGGGTCTCCCTATGTTTCCCAGGCTTGTCTTGAATACCTGGGCTCAAATGATCCTCGTGCCTTTGCCTCCCAAAGTGCTGGAATTACAAGTATGAGCCACCGCACCCATCATTTCTCCCATTTTTTAGTTCTTAATAATCTCTTGTTTTGCTCAGTAAAATGTTAGCTGTTGTTCCATGTAATTGATAAAATAAGAGTAAGACCTTTATGAGAGTACTAAGTTCATCTCTTAAGACCTCACCTGTGGACCCCAAGTTAAGTTTTAAGATGCCGTAGTTATTCCAATAGAGAAAATCAAGAGTCAGGTATCTCGCTTTTAATACTGCCACAGAGGGAGGTTTTACTTCAAACTCTGCTGCTGTCTTGTGGGTAACAAGAACACGAAGTAGGTACGCGGAAGGTGCCAAGTGATTCAGCAGTGTAAAGAGTTTCTTTCTGGCTCTCGAAAACACTTTGAATTACTTAAAAGTGACTTTGCTACTAATGATCTCATGTAAACCTCCAGGGATTCTCTGAATTGTTGCTTAAAATTAGCATCAGTTTCAAAAAACAACAAGCCAAACCTTGGGTTGACTTTCAGTTTGTGCTTGTAAAATAATACTTGGTTTTACTGAGTTAAATTTAGTTATTTTTATTATTGCAAAAGTCAGAGTGAATGGAAGTTTGCCAGAGGGAAAGGATATGAAAACAGGCAGAGATTCCAATAACTTTTAAAGATTATCATTAAGTGGAAAAAATGTTTTCCAGCCAAGTTTGCCCTGATGTCAGAGACAGAATCTAACTCCAGTTATCCCTCCCAGTCATCTCTACTTTGTATAGAAGCATTAATTTTTATCTTTCTATCAGAAACTTATTTTTTGTTTCAATTGTTAAATGTAACTTCAGCATTGAATTAAACTGCTTCAAAGGTAATGAGGGGAGCTGTATTAGAATACAAGCACATAAAAAATCTCAGCGAGAGGACTTCTTAATCTAAACATGAATTTTATCTCTTACTTGCTCCACTTTTGTATTTTGAGTACTTGTATTTGTTAAGATGTTTCTCTTTTGTATTCAGTGAACACATGGGGACTTCTTTTCTGTCCTCTCTCTCTCTGTATCATTTTAATCCCATTAAGTGAATCCAGTTGGCTGTGGGTATTAGTGGTTTTTCTCACATTACCAGTGACCAGAATTTTATTGTTCTTGAACATTTATGAGGGTCAGTACTTCCCTTGGCAAAATTTTTATTATTATACTATGCATTAGTTCTGCTGTAATAATGAGTTCATTGAATTTTAAAGCTACCAACTCTCTCATCGGCCACTTATTAAGAGCTTTGTGCTTGGCTCTCTGCTTTTCAAAATGATTTCACTTCCATGAAAGTGGCATATAGAATCTTCAGAAAATATTGTCATTGACATTAAATCAAACTTGTGGTTCAATTTAAACATTTTCTATGTTGAAGGCGATAAATGGATACAATTTTAATAATGTTTGAGAATGTAAAGAACAGTAAAACATGGACTTTTTTTTTTCTCAGTTTAACTCACAATAGAATAATACAGCTTTAATGATGTGTTGTCTTTCTATCTCAACTGATCAATTGTGATCGTTTGCTGAATTTGCTGTTCTTGAGAGTTTACAACAGTGCTTCTCTAACTAATGGACAAATAAACCACCTGAGAATCCTGATACTGCTGGGTTTCAGGCCACACTTAGAGTAGCAAATGTTTACAGTATATCTGGTATTTCAATGCACATTTAATATTATCTGTTGTGAATTTTGAATTGTTATGAAGTAATCATAATATTACTAGCATGAAGATGAAATATCACTCTGTTGAGCAGGCTGGAGTGCAGTAGTGTGATCTCAGCTCACTGCAACCTCCACCTCCTGGGTTCAAGCGATTCTCCTGACTCAGCCTCCAGAGTAGCCAGGATTACAGGCGCCTGCAATCATGCCTGGCTAATTTTTGTATTTTTAGGAGAGATGGGGTTTCACCATGTTGGCCAGGCTGGTCTCAAACTCCGGACCTCAAGTGATCCACCTGCCTCGGCCTCCCAAACTGCTGGGATTACAGGCATGAGCTACCGCACCTGGTGGCCATTTTCCTTTTTCACTAAGCCTAGACCAAGACCTAGGTAAGTCATACAGCAGACAATGCCTGCCCCCCACCATCTCTTTTTTTTTCTCACAAACCTGGGAGTTTTAATTTGGTTAAAAATATAATATGCATCTTTTATTTTAATTGTGGGAAAACATAAAATTTGCCATCTTAACTATTTTTCAGTGTACAGTTCAGTGGCGTTAAGTACATTCACATTGTTGTGCGATCATCACCAGCTTCCATGCACATAACCCTTTTCATCATGCAAAACTGAAACTGTATACCCTCAATAACTCCCTCCCCTCCCAGCTCCTGGCAACCACCATTCTACTTTCTGCCTCTGAATTTGACTACTCTGAATACCTTATAAAGGGCAATCATGCAGTATTGTCTTTTTTCAGTACCTCATAAAAGTAAAATCAGACAGTATATATCTTTTTGTGACTGGCTTATTTCACTTAGCATAATGTGCTCAAGGTTCATTATGTTTTAGCATATGTTAGAATTTTCTTCCTATTTAAGACTGAATAGTATTCCACTCTGTGTGTGTGTGTGTGTGTGTGTGTGTGTGTGTGTGTGTGTATGTGTTTAAACTGCTTCAAAGGTAGTGAGGAGAAAGCTGTTACAATAAGACTCATAAAAAAAAACTCACTGAGAGGCCTTCTTAATCAAAACATGAATTTTATCTCTTACTTGCTCATTTTTGTATTTTGAATTCTAGCAGTTGTTAAAATGTTTCTTTTTTGTATTCAGTGAACACATGGGAACTTCTTTTCTGTCCTCTCTGTCTGTATCATTTTAATCCCATTAAGCGAATCCAGTTGGCTTACTCTACTTATATGAGGTACTTTCCTTATATAAGTTACTTTTCCTATCCCAAACTCATCAATTAGGTAAGTTATATACACACACTGTATGTATACTTTATATATATACACACACACTGTATATATTTAGATATATACACACACAGACACACATACACAGATACAAACACAGTGGCATACTGTGTGTGAGTGGAAATGGTGTGTAAGTAGATATATACACACACGTATTTATATGTATATATACACACATACATACATACACATACAGTGCATACATGCACACAGACATTTTTGTTTATCTAGTCATCTGTTGATAGACACTTCGGTTGCATCCAGCTTTCAGATATTTTAAATAATACTGCCATGAACAAGGATGTCCACATTTTTTTTGAAACCCTGCTTTCAGCTCTTTATGGTATAAATGCCCCTTCTCTTCACCCTCTTCTCACTTCCTAGTTTCACCTGCTTCCTGTCCTTAGGAACTGAGGTATCTCACGCATACATTCCTCCCACCCTGTCTCCTCTCTTGCAGTGTGTGGACCATTTGCACTCAACACTGCTATTGCCCAGAAACGCTCCAGTATCAGTTGTGTACCTCTTAATATGAGTTTAAATGAGATCTTCACTTAAAAGCTTAATTCCGGCTGGGCGTGGTGGCTCATGCTTGTAATCCCAGCACTGTGGGAGGCCGAGACGGGTGGATCTCAAGGTCAGGAGTTCGAGACCAGCCTGGCCAATATGGTAAAACCCGTCTCTGCTAAAAATACAAAAATTAGCCAGGGGTGGTGGTGAGTGCCTGTAGTCCTGGAGGACTACTCAGGGACTACTTCAGCTACTCAGGAGGCTGAAGCAGGAGAATCGCTTGAACCCGGGAGACGGAGGTTGCAGTGAGCCGAGATGGTATCACTGCATTCCAGCTTGGGTGACAGAGCAAGATTCCATTAAAAAAAAAAAAAAAGCTTAATTTAAATTGTGTAACGAAAGATCATAACTTGTATTAAGAAACTTTCTGGAATTCCTTCTGCAAAACCTCAGAAGTGCTA